GGTGACGGAGCCCTGGAACAGGCTGCCCAGGGAGGCTGTGGAGTCTCCTTCTCTGGAGATATTCAAGACCCGCCCGGACAAGGTCCTGTGCAGCCTGCTGTAGGTGACCCTGCTTGGGCAGGGGGTTGGACTAGATGACCCACAGAGGTCCCTTCCAACCCCTACTATTCTGTGATTCTGTGAGTTTCAGGTGTTGGAGTGACCCTGACTAGGGTGAGCAGAGTCTGCCAAAGAAGAGGATGGTCTGGGATTTGTTGTGTCTGATGAAGAAGAGAAATGGGTGGTCAGCTTTAAAAGTCATTGTTGGTGCTCTGGATCTCAGCACCAGCACACCTGTGGCAGCCGCTGCCTCAGTACCTTCTTCATTGACCTCCACAAAAGCTTTGTGAATAGCTTTTGAGATGAAAAGATCCTTCTTAGCTGACATCCCTGTGAAATCAGCCCGAACAGGATCAAAAGCATTTCGTATCCCCATGCTGCTCAAAGTGGATTTAAGGTCGTAATTCTCTTCCAGCTTCAGCTTGGGCAGGTACAGATCCACTTCAGCTTTGATCATGTTGGTTGATTCGGTCCATTCGGCCAGTCTCTCATAGGTCAGCTCTCTTTCGACCTGTAATGAGTTGAGGAAGCAAACAGTTGGAGCGTGAAGGGTAGAGACAAGACGTGCACACACCAGTGTCTTAATGCTCATCAAGAACCTGTAAAACAGCCCAGCTACCAGCAATGGGTACACCTGGAACGTGCGCCATATTTGTGGGGCGTGATCCTGCAAAGTGCCGAGTGACAGAGTAGGTAGATATTTTTTTTCTGGTGTGGAGAATATTGCTTTTTTGCAAAGTGTGACTCATAATGATATTAACAGGTGCTTGATATGTGTGTGTACAGGTAACTGTTCCCTTAGTAGTAGTAAATATGTGGAACGCATGGGACCTCAGGTACAAATAAAAAGATGTTTGCCCTGATCTGTTTAGAATCTGAAACCGATCCTGGCATGGCCATGAGTGGCTGTTAATACCTTCTGGGTCACGGTAGTCAGCACTCAGTTTGAGAAACCTCACCACAAAATATCAGACTGCAGATGACATAAAACTGAATTATGGCAGCCCTCAGGAGAAGGTAACTCTAGAGCACAGTGATTCAGATTTGGTCCTCATTTTCTGTGTGCTATTCTGGCAGTAGAAAAGAGGACACAAAGCAGGCTAAGACAGTTAAGTGAACATAAGATTTTAGATGCATCCCTAAGTAAAATACTATGTTTGCAATGTTATCAGGTGCCCTGAAGCCTAAGCTGAGAAATCATGACAGTCTATGAGACAAAGTATGCACACATCAGAACCTATTCTACTGTGATTTTGAAGCTCGTTCTTCCTCTTTTCGTCTGTTTCTGTTACTGACTCATAGTGTATGTGATGCAACAGTAGGTCAGTTTTACCAGCTCCAGACCAGTAGTGTTGTCACTGATGTCATCTGGTAGGAGAACGAACATGCTGAGTTCATTTTCCACATATGGCAGCTCAATGATTTTGAATTTCATTGTTTTTTCATGGAGTATCAAAAATGTATCTCTCAGAAACATCATCTGTACTGGTTTAGTCTTGGTCTGTGGAAAAATTCGGACATAAAAAATAGTGTTACTTCATTCCTTAAAATGGATGGTAAAGATTACTTGCTTCTTTGAACCGAAAGCAAAAATTTGTAAAAAAGTACAAGACTCAGCAGCATTTGTATATTTGGTGCCCTTTCCTTTGGATAGCATCACATACGCCCCCTTTTCAAAGTCATTGGGATCTTTAGAAAAAGTCACATAGACACAACTGAATCACATGTAATGTGTTTCTCATTTTAAAATAAAGGAGTTAGCTTTTCATCCTGTGTTTCTCCCCCTGTGCTGTTGAGAAGGGGAAGTGACAGAGCGGCTTGGTGGGCACTTAGTGGCCAGCCAACGTCAACCCACCATGGCCATGTACCATGATGGATCCTAAAACTGCACGTGTAGCATCGTCGGTTTCAGATACACAGTCACATCATCAACACCATTGCTTCACATTGCCTGGCATACAAATGGTGTTTGCACTGGTAATCTAGGTCAAACAAGATACATGCTTCCATTGACAAATAATTTTGCTTGCCTTTGACACAGTCCAGAAATATGCATGCAGTCAGCTACTGCGAATCGTCAGCGTGTGATCATTGAAATACTGTTAGCTCAAGAACATGCCCTGAGGGTGAACTGAATACATCATCCTCACGCATTTCGCTAACAGCGACGAACCCCCGTGAAAATTCCCTGTGAGTTTTACACAACACGCAGGGTGTGTGAGGAAAGAATTGTTGATTCGGTTTCCTTGAACTGAGAGTATAGACTCAAAAGCAGTAAAGAGATGTAGGTGTGTAAGCGCTGCTCTCAAAAGCAACTCAGTCCTTTTTCAAAATGGGACCTTAGTACTTACAGAAATTTCCTCTTGTTGTTAAGCTGCTTAACCGCGGTGCTCTCAAGTGTTTTGATACTGAAGGGCTATTAAAGTGAAAATCCTGTTCTCATGGATATGTGTAAATAAGATAACGCTGACTAATTTCCACGATTGCTGTTCTCCCTGAGTTTATACCACGTGCCCAGCTATGAGCAGTGTTGCAGTTGCACACGAAACGCAGGCGAAATATTTAGAGGTTTCTTGCTCTTCAGTACTAGACATATTGACATATGACAATAGGCTTATAGACAAGGAATTTACCTTGCTCAGTCTGAAGGGCATCTCAGAAGTATTTTTCTCCAGAAATTTCTTTTCCCAGTTTCCTTTGAAATAAACGGCGTTTACTAAGACCAGCACAGTGCGAGAACTGAGAGATCCTGCAGACAGCAGATTCTGTATTTTGCCTTCAAAATCAGACAAATAGGACTGTTATTCCAGTGTGACTGTGTAACTCGACAATTTTCATCATGCCTTCTCTGTGCCTACCTATCTAGCAAAAGTGTTTGCATTTGGGAGGTTTTTTTACTGTAGATTTTTCATGGTGTTCATATGGTAAGAATGACTTTTGGAGTATCTCTGTGTCTTTCTTTTTTAAAATATATTTATTGCAATTTTGCTAGTAAATGATACTAGAAAGTGGGTAAAGTGGAATAGCTTGGATGTTCTGCGAAGTTGGTTGCAAGCAGCTAAAGAATGCAGAAGTAAAACCCTCACTAATCAGAGTGGAGCCACTCAGTATCTACCTGTGCTTCCCTCTGAAGAGACATAACTCAGAAGAGGCTACGGCATGAAGAATCAAGGGAAGGACCTTGTAAGGAGCAGCAGTTAGGTTTGGAGAGAGGCATTCTTCAAGCTGTTTAACCGCATTTTACTCATCACCCCTGAGTTTCCATCTTTTATGGATCCTTGGCAGCAAGAGCAATATATGTGGAAATACAAATGATTTGAAAGTGAGACGAGAAGAAAGCCCTCACAGTGGTACTTACTCTCAGTTTCATTTTCAACCCATGAATTGATCAGTGTTCTGGCTTGTTCTGCAGCTGTCTTAAAGTTTACAGCTTGTGGCTTTGCATTGTAATAGCTCATAGTGAGTTGTAAGAATTTCTGAAAGATAGAATTGGAAAATGTATGCTTATTTAGTTTATTTAGTTATACATAATTGAAGAAAATATCATTTGTTTGAAATGGGATGACCCTTAAGGTCTGATACACTCTGTGCTAAATATTAAGTAAGGACTGATCAAACTTCAGTCTCAAGGAAACTGATACTTCAGATTTTTGTGTTTGAAATCCAAAGTGCTAATTTGTAATTTTGAAATATCCAGTGAGGCGAACATTCTTCACTATTTTTTTTTAATTTCTCAAAATGACTTTTTATATAATTTAAATACTTTTTCCTGATTTATGATGTAGAGTTCAGTACAAGAGAGAAGAATAGCCTTACATAAAGTTGAAACAAGGCTTTTAGATTGCTTCAGAGGCAAGGAACCTGCCAAGAGTTTGTGAGGACGATAGAGGATCTGGTATAAAGGGAATGTTTTGGTAGAATAAAGTCATGGCAGTAAAGCAGAATTAATGATTGCATTGCTGTCTGCTGTGAAGCAGTTCATGGAGATTCACAGCAGGAAATTCTCTAGATGCTCTGTGAAGCATAGGTACACAAGATTATGGAGAAAATGAGCAATAAGCATTCAGAAGGACAAATTACTAATTACTCAGGAGATCAAAACAAACTCCAAGATCAAAGAACAGTAATCTCACTTAAAACCACCTTCCAAGAAATTGTAAGATGATTAATACAATGCCAGTTTTTAGAAAGATTTCAAAAATACAGGTAATTACAAACTCATGAGTCTGTACGGGGCAAATGAATAGAATAGGTCTAGTGGGTGTATGGATAAACATGACGTGTTGGAGGAGTGTCAACAGCAGTTTGTCATGGGAAGTCCTAAATCACAAATCTGTTGGGAGTATTTTGAAGGTGTTAGGAAGCATGTGAGTAGGAAGGTTGAGCCATTACAATCTATGTGAGTTACCAAAAGGCATTTCGTAAGACTTCTCACCAAAGTCTGAGCGTTCATGGAACCATAGAGATAGGTCGTGTTTGTCTAAGGACTGGAAGCCAAGAGTAGGAGGAAATAGTGTTCACACTGAAGGGTTATGACTACTGGAGTACCACAGGAGTATGTGCTGGGGTCTATGCTAAAGTATTTATTCCATAAAATATGGGTCTATATAATTACATTAAAATATCTATATTAAAACATTTATAAATGATCCAGTGAAGGATATATACTACAGAGGGTGATTATTACTGTTCAGGAATGAGGCGTTGAAGCTATAATGGAGAGCTGCATGAAAAAATCTGCCCAGTTGTAGCCGGAAAGGCAAACACAATTTTAAGAGTTACAAAGAAAGGAGTAGGGCACAAAAGGAAGAATATTAGAACGCCACTGTATAAAGCTATGGTGTGCCCATTGTCTGAGTTCTCCATGCAGCTCTGGCCTCCCCAGTCTCAGAAATGCTAGAGTGTAAAAGATACAGAGACAGGGGATGAGGATGACCAGCGAGATGGAGAAGTGTACTTTAGAGGAAAAATAAACCAATAATGATGCCAACAGGTAGCAGGCTCAGAAAACACAGGTGCTTCCTACAGTGGGCAGTTCAGCTGTGGAACTCCTGCTGCTGAGGGTTGCTGCAGAATCAAAAGGCAAGTCTGGAAATTCATGAAAGAACAGCTCATCAAGGTCGTAGAATCATAGAATCATAGACTGCTTTGGGTTTGAAAGGACCTTTAGAGGTCATCTAGCACAACCCCACCGCAGTGAGCAGGGACATCTTCAACTAGACCAGGTTGCTCAGAGCCCCATCCAACCTGGCCTTGAATGTTTCCAGGGATGGGGCCCCCGCCACCCCTCTGGGCAACCTGTGCCAGTGTTTCACTGCCCTCCTGGTAAAAAATTTCTTCCTTATGTCTAGTCTAAATCTACCTTTCCTTAGTTTAAAGCCATTGCTCCTTGTTCTATCGCAACAAGCTCTGCTGAAAAGATTTTCCCCATCTTTCCTGGAGGCCCCCGTCAGGTACTGGAAGGCTGCTATAAGGTCTCCTTGCAGCCTTCTCTTCTCAAGGCTGAACAGCCCCAACTCCCTCAGCCTTTCCTCACAGGAGAGGTGCTCCAGCCCTCAGATCACCTTTGTGGCCCTCCTCTGGACCCGCTCCAACAGCTCCATGTCCTCCTTGTGCTGGGGGCTCCAGAGCTGGACGCAGGACTCCAGGTGGGGTCTCACCAGAGCAGAGTAGAGGGGCAGAATCACCTCCCTCGACCTGCTACGCTTCTCTTGATGCAGCTCAGGTTGGCCTTCTGGGCTGTGAGCGCACATTGGTGGCTCATGTCCAGTTTGTCATCCACCAGTACCCCCAAGTCCTTCTTGGCAGGGCTGCTCTGAATCCCTTCATACCCCAGCCTGTATTGATGGTGGGGCTTGCGCCGACCCAGATGCAGGACCTAAGGTCTGTTAAGTAGACATGCCCTCTGGTTCAGGAAGTCCTTGAGCTGCAGATCGCTTGGTGACCAGAGCAGATTCTAGAGAAGCATCACTATGCAGCGTGCCTTGTTCCCATACACTTCCTAAACTCTTGCACACTGTTGGAGACAAATGAACCTCTTGTCTGTGGAAGGCTAGCCCCGCGTGGCGGTCCTCATCTTCTCACTATCATTTGGAAAATGTTTATCATGTCTATAATTCCTCTTAATGTCAAAGTATTCTCAAGTAAAGGTGTTTAACTCACGGGCAGTAAGGGGTAGGTCTTTTCCCCATACAGTCGGTTGGCACTCTTCAGCAAGTAGGTGCTCCTGGGTTTATTGATGGCAGACAGGAGCTCTCTGAAGCCAGAGTGGATGTTTTCAGCTTGGTTGTCCTCAGGATCCTTGGAAAGAGACACCAATTAGTATGGAATATTTTTTTTCTGTCTGAAGTGTTGCACCTGCTGTGGTTATTTAAAATACCCAGGTTGTCTTAATTAAAACAGAATTTCAGAGGATGGAGCTCTTTTTTGAGTATATTGCGTTTTTGCAGCACTATGTGTAACTGGACAAATTATTTTCTGTCTGTAGGGAGATGACCTGTTTCTGCAGTGCTGTGTAGGCCTTTGGGAACATCAGCTGATGGTGCACCCAGGAAGTTGAATGTCCTCATGACAGTTATGGTGAGGCCTAGTTTTCAGTTTCACAAGGACACATCAATGCAGCCTGGCAGCTTTTGAGGAGGTGCTCTGTTCTGACAGACTCTAATGAACGTCAGGGCATGAACTTACCAACTATTCAGATTTTCCCTGTTTCACATGAATTTTGCTATTGCTGTTTAGGTTATAGAGCAAGCTTGTCCTGGATGTCAATGCTGATGGCTTTAGGGAGCATGAGCTTGCTTGCCAGCTGTTGCCAGCTGTTGCTTCGCTAATGGAGGAATAAGCTGCTACCTGTCAGCTGCTCCCCACCAGCTGCTTGGGTGCAGTCTCCTCCTCCGTGGTCCGTACCGTGCCCTGCACTTGAGACACTGAGAGTCGATGCCACTGACTCACGATGATTTTTCGTAAGGTTGGTCAGGTGGCATTCCTTGCTCTAGTCTTTTCTCACTCGTGCTGAGACGTGGGCTGCTAGGAAGGACACCTGGGAAAGAATTTGGTAGGCAGAGGAGACAGGGTAGGAGAGGCTGGTTGCTTTGCAAGGGGACGGAAACAGACTGAAGAGGTAATGGAGGGAAATGTCTGAAGGACCAGACGAGGCAGACTTTGCTACAACTCAGAAAATCAATGAGTTGCTAAAATGAAAGTGGATGTGATGATTGAAGATCCATCCCCCACCACCTACAGAGAGAATGATATAACTTCCTCCCCTCTTTTATTTCCAGTTTGTCTAATCTAGTTTCTTTGAGCTTTCTTTCTGTTTCTGTGCTAGAGAAAGATGGCTTGTTTGAGTTTACAAGCCTTTCAGTGCTAAAGGAGTTCATTTGATGAAAAAGATCTGAGCAGTTCCTCCTGGGGGAAGTCTCTGGGGAGCTGATGAGCAAAGGTGGATCAACATGCATTAGCTGGAAGGGGAATTTTGTTTGCCTGTTACGTCCATGCATGAAAAAGGGGGGAGGGAGTTTATTGGGTAGGGCTGGAGTCAGATGTGAATGCAGTAGCTGTTTTTCACTACAGAAAAAAAAACCCTGAAGCTGACAAGAGATAGTGTTGTCCTAAGCACAATAGGACAAATGATTTGTTAATATTGCCACAGACCAGCTAAAACCAAGTAAGACAGTATTAGAGCCAATCAAATGCTGTTTTTTGCCTCAGTTCTGCTTTTGAAGGCCTGAGTTCATGAGTTTTATGGTAATCTTATCTGCTTGTTCGCTTTTTCTCTTTCTATATATAGCTCTTACTGAAGTGAGAGAGTAGATATAGACTGAAGACAAGCAAATGTTAGAAGGCTAAAGCAGTAGCTGTGATGAAATTTCCCTTTCTCAGAGACCTTTTTCTCTGAGTCTGTTGTTGTAATAAATACCATCTTTCTTGTCTTTGGTCTCCCTGGAGAAGGCCTTGCTGTCCCAGACGAACCTTCTTCTCCTGCAGTCTGGTTAAAATGAAGAACCTGTGGTGATGGTGAATGTTCATAAAGACAGGTTGTTTTTTGAATATAAATGTACCCAAGAGTTATGTAATTATGTTAATTTTCTATGGTAATTCACCAGCCATGCCTAATAACAGTTAGTCTATTAAAGTTTTCAAGGACAAGACCTTAGCCTTGATTTAATCTCTATAACTATGTCATTATTGTATAGATTTTAGTCATATTTACTGCTGAGTAAGAGTCAATATTATGGCTCAAATATGAATTTATTTAGATAAATAGTCAGTTCATGCTTGGCTACATGGAATTTATTTTCAGATCGTGACGAAGCACAACAAAGAGCACGGTGCACTTTAGAGTCTTACTACTGGTACAGGAATGAAAAATTCTGCATTTAATGTATTTAAGTAAATCCATATAACCTAAAAGAGTACGAGACTAAAAAGTTGTGCTAAAGTGGGCGTAAGTGAAATCGTATTTTCAGTACTAGTATATCTCCCTTATTTGTGGGAGGATTACCTTCTTTATGGACTACCTATGTCACAAGCAAAGGTATTTGTACTGCTCCTGTGCAGCCCAACACGTGTTCAGGAGAGCTTACTGACTTTGGTATGCGGTATGAGAAACCAGAACCAGCTGGGGTCTAGAAGCAGTGATTTTATCTCTGGCACTCCTTTTTCTAGATTATCTTAGTGCCGTATTAATTTTGTTATAAAGCTGTCTCCTTATTACTAATTGAGCACCATATCAAGTGAATTATTCCGTTCAAAGGGCAATTAAAATAGAAGGTAGAGTTCAAGCAAGACAAGCAGTAGTCTCTAACGTCAATAACTTCCCTCTGGCAGACCACTTGCGATGCTCTGGGAGCTGTTAGTGTAACCTAAATATAGGGGTAGTGCAGAGCAGAGAGATCCTGGAAATGAAGTGTTCCTTTCTGTTCCCCATTGGCAGAAAAATAATGCAATTTATGTGTGAAACACCTGTAAGGTGAAAAACTGCTGATTTCAGAGCTTACCTCAGCCATCTGGGCTGCGGTGTCACCTTTTGCACCCAGGTAGACCATGGCGAGAGCAGTTGCAATACTCCAAGGAGAGAAGAAAATGTTTTGGCCTTTGGAAGTTTCATTCAGCTTTTTGTAAAGGTCCAGAGTGAAACTGTTGGTTGACACTGAGAGAGACTCCATTGATACAGCCCGAGACAAATGAGTGTCAGAGAGAGGTGATGGCTGCTTCTTCGCTTCTGCTAAAAAACACAAAGCTGCTAGTGGGAGGTTGCCTGCACCCTCTCAAGTACAGTGTGAGGGTGTCCCTGCAATGGGTAAAATACTGCGCAGAGACCAAGTACAGTCAGCTAGTAGGTCTCTTTAAGACCTGCACTACTTCTTCCTTCCCCATCACTTCTCAATGTCCTCAGCTTTTTTATTTATTATTCATCAGCTGAGCATGATTTTAGCTGGAAGTGTTTTCACAGACCAAATTTGTTTCAAAAACCCATTTGCTTAAGTTTCGTAGAATTATTCTTCGATTCTGAGGGAGTGAAACAGAATAATTTCTTGCTGTGAGATGAGAAAGAAGCTGCTTTGAGCTTTTTTTCTATTTCTTTAAACTTCCTATGCTATTATTTTCTGCTGAAAAAAGCATGAATTCATGTGATTCACTACATGTATCTTGGAGGCTACTAGAGATCTGTAGATTTTTGTATGTTCTTGGTGTAGGTAAACCCCCATTTGGAAGCTGTAACTAGATTTGTTATTCACTGTTTTTCAAGTAAACTCCTGTATCTTACATACAACCCCAAACAGTTCCTCTTTCAAGCAACAATTTTTCCCTTGTTTTCTGCTGGCTTATCGGAAGCTGCAGATTTTCCGCCCTTGTTCTCCTTCTTTTTCCAAGTGTGTTTTTACAGGACAAACCCAAAGCAGACAAAAAACCCAACCCCAGGATTAATCTGACTTTCCATACGTGGATCCAAAACAAACCTGTACTTCTTACCATATTTTAGGTCAATCTGATACTGTTGGCAGATCTTAGGATAAATTCAGAAATTTCCATTGTCTTCACCAATATAAGGACTACTAAAACATGTACTAAAGTCATTGTAAGATGGCATCAGGTGAAGATCAACAAAAGCAACTGGACATATAAATCGATCTTCACCCACAATTTACATGCTTAAATCAAAAACTACAGTCCTCAAAGCCAGCTGCCATGCAGTGCTAGAGATGCCCAGAGCCTCTGGGATCCTCGAATTTTGATTTCAAAGCTTTCCAGGGCTCCACAACTGCTTTGAAGCATTCCCAGTGTGCTTCAGAGTGAATCCCCTGCAGCCTAGCTCATACCTAAGCATTTTTAGGACCTTCAAATCGGATACCTCTTACTGCTGTTCCTGGAGATGCTGATGCTCCCAGAGCGTATCTAGGAAGCAGGGCTGAGCTGAAGATTTTTGCCTGAAGAATTTCAAACCGACATCTCCATCTCCTGTTCTCAGCGAGTACCTGAGCTGAATCTGCCTGGAGCAATCAAGCATTTCTCGGGCTTGAGAGAGAACATGCATGTGTTTCTGTGAGGTTCACTGGTCTACTAGCCACTTTGGTCATCTGGGAAAGGAAAAGTCTGGATGCCTGATCCAGTAGTTATTTGGTATTAATAAAGCAGAGGCTTGAACCAGTACACCCCACGCTGAGCATCCAAAATGCTGTGCTACAGAGTCCTGCTGTCTTGTGTGTTCAATTCCAGGATCAGTAGGAGGGTATTCTCTCCTGCAGCCTGGTCTCAGGCCTCTGATCCAAAGTCAACGAGTAGCCTTCCCACAGGTGAGGAAACTTTCTGCCCTCCCAGGCTGTGTAGGTTTTGCCCAACCTGGGCTTGCATTCTGACCACTGTGGTGGGTTTTCCTAAAGGCTGCACTTAGTACTAAAAAATGAGCACTCCCTTCCCCTGCGTGACATTTAGGCCATCATCTAACCACTCAGTTCCAAAGAATTTAACGTGAATTTTTAAGACTTCCAAAGTAAAGCTAGTTATTTTGTTATTAATATTTACACTACCTGAAATCCTGAGAGAGAGGAGAGTTAAGATCCGTCTTCAGTCAGGATCTGTGGCAGTCTGTGAGGCAGTGAATACTTTTGGAGACGTAGAACCGTTTGCACCGCCCTTTTCTTCTCTACGTCCTCTTCTTGTATTTATGTGCGTGTTCTCTCGTTTATTCCTACTTCTCCTCTCCGTGAGGACAGATGTCCTCCACAACCTTGGCGTTTGGCCTGCAGAAATGTAGGAACTGCAGAAAAGAATTCAACCACCCTGCTTTGGCAAGGGACGTGTTGAAATAACTGTACAGCTTCCTTTTCTTTTTACTCTACAAACTGGGGAAATGAATAGAAACTAATCTAAAAGATATGTCTAAAAGGGAATATTGAAATAGACAGTCTCATTTATCCCATGGTTAAATTTGAGAGGAGAAGGATTTGAATGCTTGTGACCTCTAGGTCACATAAAGCCCTTATTTAGTGATATTTTACATTTTTGCTCTTCTGTTTCAGAAAACAGATTGCAAAGGAAGCTCAGAAGGTATCTACACAGTCACCTAAAATAAATGATGAAATAAGAGTGAACACTGCTTATTTAACTGGTGGGTGTTGTTTTAAGAGAACGCTGCTCCTAGCAGAGGGGGTAAAGTGCTTTAGATACCTACAGGCACTACACTGTACTGAGCTTGTTATTCCTCTGTGATGGAATGAGGGAGTTTGGATCATCCACCAAAAGCTGCGAAACTGCTTGGAAGCTCTGCTTGTGATGATTTCATTTACTGAAACTGTTGCATTGGAGCAGAGAGCCAAAACAGCAGAATGTGTAAAATTGGATATCAGCAAAGGTGTAATACAAAACGGTATGTGTACACAAATGTTTTACTTCAAAACAATGAAATCAGCAATTCTGCTGGTTTACTCTGCTGTTATCTGTGTGACTTAGATGAAACTGCATTGATAAATTTCCTTTGTGATCATTGTATGTCTTTTCTGCTACATTTGGTTAGTTAGGAATGGCCTCTGTCCACTAGCATGACACATGCAGAGTAAACCAATTACCAACATGCAGTCAACCTAGACGGAAAAAGCATCAGTATGAAGTGTACAATTCCGTATTTTGAAATAGAATTGCATTTTTGTGCTTATATTCACTTTGAATCTGACTGGTACATATGCCATACAAGGTTTGAAGAATGATAGAGGAGCCTGTCTTTTTTTCACACGTTTTGTTTTTAAGTGCATGCAGGTTTTGTGCCTGAAATACGCATCTTATTTTCTTGCTTCAGAAATGTATTAGACACTATTATGGTTAGTTACGTGCTTAGGAAAGGTTTCTGCTATGTATCTGAAACTGATGTTGTCTATTTTTTAGCTAAATGAATAGAAGAAAAAAGCCAAACAACAGTTAGTGGTCCTACAAGTTGGAAAGATTGGCCAAAAATACAGGAAAATGAAGAAAGGGTACCCAAACTGTGTAGGCAGTCTTTGCGGTATATTCCAGCTGCTGCAAGATCCTGTTTAGTAAGAGAGGGTGGAGTTTCAAAGGGGAGCAAACTGGCCAAAGAAGAGGTGGTCTTGTTTTTTCTGTGCTAGATGGAAATAGGGAGAAGAAATCATGAACTGCTGCAACCAGAATGGTAGAAATAAGTTTTCACAGCATCACAGCGCCTCACTTGTTGACCTCAAGTGGATTTACCTCTGAGAAATGGTCATAAAAAGTCTTTTGATAAAACCAGTCATTTTCCTCTGGCATACTGATGAAGTCGTTCTGGCCTTTTTTGAAGATATCTTTCAGCCCCATCTTGCTCAGCACGGATGTGAGATTGTTATCTTTCTGCCTGTTTGATTGTCATGCTCTCATACCTGTACTTTGTAAATGGTCTATTCTGAGTGGACCATTTGGGCGTTTATTGCAGATCAGTTCTCTTTCAGTTACATCTAGTAAAAGTAGCACAATTTACAATCAATGCTAGACTAAGTCCAATTATGGATTTTTACTCTGCAGGAAATCCCATTCAGCTACATGCCCCCGAAAGAAAATGAGACCTAGGATCACATCTGTTGCAACAGAACTCTAAAGGATTGGACTATACATTACATTTAAGAAGTGATTTTCTTGTGCCTGTTACTGAAGGGAAGACAAAACCTTTAAAAATATGGATGCATTTGCATTTCAGTTCGAAAGCAGGATTTTTATGTGTCCTTGCCTTGAATACTAACACTACAACAGCACTTTCTTGACCTTATTACCGTGTGCTGTGCGTGCCATTTCTGTTTGTCATGAGGTCTGCCACAGAGGTGCCAGGGATTATATTCTGACACTGAGATTTGCACTGGTAGACAAAAGCCCCATCTTTCATTGTAGGATAAATTGAAAGCATGTTAATCTTCTGTGTTTTGACAGGCATGGAATCACTAAGTGACAGGCAGTCCATGCTCGCAGTGTGTTTGTATTGAGGCTTATCTCAGCACTTTCCTGTAGATACTTCTTTCTTTAGTTTTCAAAGTTCTGGGACCTTTCAAGGAGGAGTTTGTGGACCTGAAGTTACAAATTTCGGTAGTGCAGAACAAATCCAGGGCTTCTTGAAAGCAGTTATTGGAAATGCAGTCATGTAGCACCTATTACTTGGCTACCTTGGAGTATTTTAGAAAGGTGATTAAACAGCATTTTCCTTACTGTGAGAGAATAAAATGGAACTGTTTTTCAAAAGCATCAAGCCACCCTCTGTGGGAGACAGGAGAGAAAGAACAGTGCTTCGGAGAGCCCTTGCTGAGAGGAGCACTGAACACCATGGCCCGTTGCTGGTGTAGGAGCTGCTCTGCCTCAGATCTGTCTTCTCTTCCCTTCCGGCACCCAGGCCTGTTGCCAGCCAGTCTGTCACCTCCAGGACCCCCCAGGCCTTCTGGAACAACACTACCTCTTTGTCTTGGCAATTTTTGCTGTTGTGCAAAGTGACTCTTCAAAATGGGTATACATGATTTAGGGGTTCCCAGTAATTACTTACTGTTGAATACACGTAGCAGAGAGAGAGGATTAACATAAAAGGCTAAGAATTAACATGCCCACCACCCTGATGAATCTTTGCTGGCCAGGAGGAGGGCTGGTTTTGTTGCTCCCTAGGAAAGGCTCAGTCTTGATGTTGCTAGCTGTTGCCTTCCCATTCTTGAGATGTATTTCCAAATAGAATAGCTTTGTGGGGGTGGAGTGAGTTGTAGGTGGAATTTTGCTGAGAGTAAATGTTTTTACAGTACCTCCCTCCTGCGTTCAGATCTTGTTGCCTTAGATAATGTTCTCTGACATGGTTACCATGATGGCTACAAAATTTTACACTAGTCCTCCTGGCCACAGGAGCACCACTGGTGCCCTCCCAAGCCAACGGAGGGAGCTGATGTTGCCAATACAGCGTTGCTTGCTCACTATTGTGCATGGGATGTTTGGAAGCTGCTGAACTACAGGCTCTAGTCAGACTTTTTATTTCTAGTGTGTTGTGACAGCAAAACAAGCTTCCTGCGTAGGTCCCAGGGGGCTGATAGTGCAATAAGCAGTCGTCAAAAATCGGAAGCTGAATGCTTAAAAAGATGTTCACACACAACTCCAAATTCATTTATTGGATTAAATGCAGATCATGATAAAATTATGAAGTAAAGCATCAGTCAAAATCTCACTGCTGTTTCTGGCAATACCATGACTATCTTTGCTGAAATGCATTCAGAAGTTACATAATTTGTCATAAATCATTACATAAATCCTACATTGATCAATGATATAGGTAGCAAGGAAGCTGTGCAGATATTAGCCAGGAAACAGGTATGATTAGGTTAAATTTAAAAGAAGAAGCAGGTTTGATTTTTGCAGGTGTTAGATTGCCTATCAATATGAGGTAGCAAGAAGCATGTTGCTCATAGTTTTTTTACCATTTTTGCTGATTGTAACTCTCAGCAACCTTAACCTACAAAGCTTAAAAAATGAGGAAAAAATGCAAGGTGATTAGAGGTCAGCGATTGAATGTTAAGGGCTGGATCACTTTCCCTTGCTGCCTCATTTTCCATGAAGCTGCAAGGGCAGAAGAGAATGAATATAAAATGTCTGTATACACACGGTGAGACAGGAAGATGAGGGGCATTCTGAGATTATTCTGGGTTTGTATTAAATTTTGTTAATTTCCAACAGTCTTTAAATTTGAAATGAACATAAGAAAACTGCATTGTAATGTAAATGCAGGTTTTCCAGTGAGGAAAAGAGAGCATGTAGATTTCTATAAGGTCTTTTTTTTTCCCCTCAGGGATTTTCTTCCTCTCTGGGAGATTCAAGAGGATGAACTGCATTTCCACTGAAGTCAGCACTTGGCATGGGGCTAGATGATGGCCTGTGTGCAGAAAGCCTTTATGGCTCCACCTTACTCTTGAACAACAAAGCCAGAAGAGCAGGTTTGATGCAAGGTGGCAAAATTCTGCACTCTGTTTTCTGTGGTGGGCTGTGTCATTAGGACAATGCAAAGGAGCAGTAGAAGGATGGTCTTTCGGGCACAGGGTGGTCTCTGGGTGCTGCCTTGCTTAGGGGTGAGGAAAAAGGACGTGCTTTCAGTGTGTATGGCTACATGGCTTAAGGCTGAGGTTTTAACACTGCAGTTCACCTTTTTCCGATGAACAGCAAACCTTGGGTGCTGTCTGGGAGCAAGTAGCAATTCATTCTGGAGGAGAGCAGAATCTGCCAAAAAAGAGGATGCTTTTGGATTTGTTGTGTCTGATGAAGAAAAGGAAGGGGTGGTCAGCCTGAAAATTCAGAACTTCAACATCATATGCACTTGTTACATTTACAATTACCGCAGTAGCAGCAGCTGCCTCAGTACCTTTCTCATCAACTGCAACAAAAGACTTGTGAAGAACTTTGGAGATCATCACATCTCCCTGCTCAGCCATTCCACTGAAATCAGCAGCGGGGCTGAAGGCAGTGCGCATTCCCATGCTGACCAGATTACCACTGAGGTCATATTTCTCCTCAATTCTGAACTTAGGTAGGCACAGATCCACAAGAGCTTGGGTCATCTTCTTGGAATCAGTCCATTCGGCCAGCTTCTCGTACGTCAGTTCTCTTTCCAGCTATCATTTAACAAAGAGAAGTAATTTGATGTTTGCAAGGATAAAACAATCCATTAGCTATGAATTAATCAATTTTATGGCAATTTAATGAATTAAATAATTTTGGTGATCAGAGACAGGGTGTACAACAAGGATTTGAGACTTAATGCTGCAAGGTTTTGAGCACCACCCCTGCCAAATTTCATTGCAAAAGAAAGAAAGGGCACTCAACACCTGCAGCTGCCATCCCCTGGGGTAGTTCTTTCCTCTCTTTTATTTCAGTCTTGATGTGAAGGAAGTTGCTGGGAGATTGCCAGCTGTGCGGCAGGTGGTTTGGTCCAGTTCCAGAGAAACACATGTTAATATTGCACAGATTTCCTTGGCAATTTCAAATAAACTGCTTCCAGCAAAATCTTTCACTGCCCCTCTGTCCTGCACACTATGTCACCAGGGTTCAGCTCAGATCAAAAGGAGGAGAGCAATCATGTTCATGACATGATAGAGGCTAAGAATTTAACAGTCTTGCAACTGTAGTAAATGCAGTGGCAGATCTCATGATTGTAGCAAATGCTGCCTAACCAAAATCCTAGTTTTTCAGAGAGCAAACAAGCGGGAACAAGATGGTGAATAAAATTCCAGGCCACGGAGAAGAGGTGTCTGTTATCTCAGGAAGAGACTGTGACTACTTGTGCAGTACTGTCCCTCCTGAACGTGCGGTGAAGGGAGATGTGACACTTGCAGATCATGTAGGATTGGGTGTCGGTCATGGGGCTGTTGAATTTGATTATGCACAGTGCTGACTGTCATCAGTTCTTACTAAACTAGGGGCACTCCGTGTGCAGGAACTTTCTTGGGATTAGATCGGTGTTAAAGGAAATTCATTCAGCTAGTGGAGGAGATCAAACAGCATGTCCTCAGAGGGGGAGGTATGGGTGCCAGCCTGTCCTTTTTTTCTTTTTTAATGACTGGGTAGTGATACAAAATGGATGTAAAGCTTACTTTACCTGTTCGAGACCCGTAGTACTGTCTTTGATGTCATCGGGAAGGAGGATGAACATACTGAGCTCACGGTTCACATACGGCAGCTCAATCATTTTGAAATTCATTGTTTCCACGATGAGAAGTGGAAATACGTGTCTCATGTGCATCATGTTCACAGGCTTAGTCTTGTTCTGTAAAGTATTTATTTAAAAGTAAGAAATAATTCCTTGAAAGGAAGGATGCCAATGCTTCAGTGCAGTGGAGGGAGAGGAAACTTTTGTAAGCAGCTTTTGTAACAGTGATTTGTCATTCGTTTTCCAAGGCTTTTCCTGACTGGACAATATTGCTTATCTCAGTGGTTGTCCCAGAGCATTTTGTTTGGTGCTGACCTGACTGATTTTTCTCTTCTCCCCAAAACATCTACAGCAGCCCGCAGAGGAGGGAGGAAGAGAGTTAGAAATGTCTGCAAGGATTAAGGGGATGGAGCAGGTGTGGGATATGGCCTTACAACTCTGCAGCAGAGAAATAGCTGTGGTTCAAGAGAACAAATGTTGTGCAGTTTTTCTGTGATCATCTCTCTCTGGCAATAAAAAGTGACTAGCTGATTGCTCTTGATGTCACAACCCGTAACAGAAGCTAATAGCACTAATGTCTGAGCAAATTGGCACCTGATGAGGAAGGTTCCCAGCAAGCAGTCACCTTTGCAGCAGTGTGTAAGCTCTCTTAACTTCTACATCCCTTCATCCAGGGAAGCAGCCTATGTACACATGCTAATCAGAAGGCAGAAGGTTCAGCTGGTGGAAATTGCACAGAGCTCTTTGCTTTTGAGGTGAATTCATTGGCATCTCTTCTGGATACGTGCCATGAACATTTCTTCTCAACTTGCCCAAGCATGCACCCTTTCAGGGTACCGTGCTGCACCTGTATGTGAGCAGGGACGTTTGTGCCCAGCTAGGCTGCACAGCACGCAGGCTTGGGTACCGTGCTCACCCGTGACATGGCGTGTAGTTCCTATCCAAGAAGCCTGGACTCTCAAAATCATGTTTTTACAATCTAGCACTTTTAGCACTGTTTTACAAAAAGGACTTAAGTGACTCTAGCACTTTTGGAAACGGTGTCTGTTACCTGTAGCTCATTTACGTTTACCTGAGCAGCATCTTAATGTTGCAGTGAGCTGAGCACTGACATGTTTTGCTGTAACCAGCTTTTCACAGAGACCCTAGTTACCACAGGGATACCTGAAAGACTTACGAAATGGAAAGATTTCAGCAGTAGCTGTTGTCACCAGGCTGTTTACGGGCAGAAGGATACTGGAGGAGCTTACCTTGCTCAGTCGGAAGGGTTGCAGTTGTGTAAATTGGGCTTGAAATTTCATTTCCCATTCTGCCTTGAAGTAAATGGCATTTACCAGAATCATCTTTGTGGCGCTTCCTACGTCTCGTGAACCCAGCAAATTCTTGATTTTGCCTTTTGAAATCAGAAGAGTCAGGTTTCATTCCAGAGTAGCACAGTGAGGACATGTTTTCATTGTTTTTTCTCTCAGTTCAGCTCCTTAGTGAAAAAGGCCGTGCCTCAGTGCCCTACTCCCTAAAATACTAGCCTGACGTGAATCGGTTAGTTTACAGTTTCCCAAGCTGTTTGCTGCCTGGTTCTCCTGGCTAGCTGACAGGGATTGACACCTTCCCCCCAAAATGTCACAGTTTCATGGCAAGCAGCTAGAAGCAGAAGGCCATATACTGCCTCGCCAGCTGGTTACGCCAGGCAGGAGGCGGCCAGCATCTCTGGCCGGTGCTGGATGGTACCTCCAGGTGGGCATCCCCACCCACCTCAGAGCACACTGGTAGGCAGAGGCGTTTCTCCCCTCTGCCTGCTCTGCCTGCGGTGCGTGGGCACAGCACGGGGGCAGCGGCTGTGCTTGAGGACCAGCTCACACAGGGCACAGCAGAGTCGGTGGGAGTCTCCCCAGGGAGCTCACTGAGATCTGGATCAGATATCTGAAGCTGCTTAAGTGTGCTGCTCTTTCTCTGTCCTCCCACTGCGTGTCTGCTCGCTGTCCACATCGGAAGGCATGACCTGGCTGCTGCAGCAGCACGCGGGGAAGCAAGGGCACCTGCCCAGAGGAAACGTCAGGCTGATTTAAATAGGAGAGGAAAGGTGTTGGGGTTGAGCTCAGCTTACCCTCAGTTTGTTTTTCAACCCAAGTATTGATTTCCTTTCTGGCTTGTTCTGCTGCTGTCTTAAAGTTGACCGCTTGTGGCTCTGCTTTGTAGTAGTTCTTACTGAGCTGTATGTATCTCTGAAAAATAGAAAAAAAAAAAAGTTCTATACTATACTGGATTTCTCAGTCCTGAAGGGAAGTTGTTAGCATTTGGACTTTTTGATAGCTTCTTGGGCCTAGAGGACTGCAGGACCTTGCTTGTTACTCTCTGTTGGACTGTGAGTTAACAGTTAAGAAATAACTAAAGGACAGAAAATTCCCTTCTTTTGTTCCCATTTTTATTTGGAGAAGCGAGGAAGGCTGTGCATATCCCTTGGATGTGCTTATTTTAATGTCTCATTTAAAATTGTGTATATTGGGGGTTCCAATAATAAAGCCGTGTTGCATGAGAAGGAATCCCTATGCTACAGTCAAAGGGCAACGCATCCTTAAATACTGTGAGCAGACCGACTGGTATTTTCCAGTTAACTTTATCACTGGCATCCAGGGGTCTTATTTGCAGTATTCGGGGTCAGCTTCAAACCTGTTCTATTAATGGCAGGTAATTAAAATGAGAAATATTTTTCACGCCTTTTCTTAGTCCTCTCTGAGATTTAACTTACAGGCACTAATGGGAAGGTCTTTTCCACGTAAATGCGGTTGGCACTTCTCAGCGAGTAGCTGCTTCTGGGTTTGTTGATGGCAGACAGGAGCTCTTTGAAGCCAGAATGAATGCCTTCAGCTTGCTTGTGCTCAGGATCCTTGGAAAGAGAAACCATACATTTAGCAATTGCATTTTTGCATGAAGTTTTCAAAGCATGCTAAGTGATGTGTGTGGGAGAGGGATTTGAGTTCCTCTCTCTTACTTTTTATTTTTCCAAGTTTACTTTGCAAGTTTACCACTGCAATTTGCAGGGCTCTGTTTATGACTGGGTGAACTGATTTGCCATATAGCAAACCTTCCAGACTATCCCAGTGGCTTCCGTCCTTCTCAGAGTCTGAGTGAGTGAAAACAACTGAGCTTGAACCTGTTATGAAGTATGTTGGGGTTTATACTTTAAAGAGGGGAGCTGACAAGAAATAGTGGACTCCTAAAGCTGTATCTGGACATGATGATTATGGAAATTCTCTGTGTTGGGATTTCAGTTCTAATAGATACCAATTTTCTTCTCTTTGGTCTCCCCCGAGAAGGTCTGGCCACAGACGAAGAGCCTTCATCTCCTGCTGCTGGAGTGAAATGAAGAACCTGCAAGCACAGTTTCCAAAGGTAAGAAATAGGCATGAAGGAACTGGTGTGACTTAAAGACAAACAGGGATCAAATGGTTGTCTTATTTCTGTCTGTATCATAATTCACTGTGCTATCTGCTGCTTAGGTGACTAATCAAAGGGATGCTGAAGCCATAGTATACGTAAATCCTGTAGAGTAACAAGGAGTAGCACTGTCCCCCTCCCAGAGCATCGATGCAGTGCTCCTGTCTGCACACTGCAAGGCTGAACTCCCTTCCATAGCTGTTGCTTTCAGCAGTAGCAAAGTGTTTGTGCAAACCCAAATGGTTCTCCCCACAATAATGGTACAAAGGCATCTGAACAGGAGTGCGGTGACACAGAGGAGAGTGCTGGGCAGTGCTGAGCACCACAGCTGCCTTTGAACCAGCAGTGTTCCCATGTGGCATTAGGAAGGATTGGGTTGGAGGATGTGGAGATAGCAAAGCTCTTCCTATTTTCCTCCTGGATTGTCAGGCAGTTGTTTAGGAAAGTATAAATTAAGATAGAAAGATGAATCCTGGCCAGGGGAGAGAGGGAGGGTGCTGGGATCTGCAAGCTTCCTGCCAGTTAGTTAGGAGGTACTGGCATCGGCTGTCTGCTTCTCAGAGGGAATATCCCATCTGTTACAGAATCATAGAATCACAGGTTGAATTAAAAGGTGTAGAATAATTTAGAAGTCAGGTTCAGAGAACCTCTGTCCTTGGCATGTGATACGCACAGGACAAGTTTCTCTTAGTGGAGAAGTGAGGGGAGCTGCTATGAAGTAAATAAAATTTACTGTTCACTTGTTACGTTCTCTGTTCTACCATTCCAACACTACATTTTGCAGCCAGTACAGGAGCCAGATATTGTATGGGGCCTGGGCACCTTAGAGCAACCTACCTCTGCCATTTCTGTTGCTGTATTGCCTTTTGCACCCAGGTACGTCACAGACAAAGCACATGTTATGCTCCAAGGGGAAAAGAAAATGTTTTTGCCCTTGCTGGTCTCATTGAACTTGTTGAAAACATCAACTGTAAACTTGCCAACTGATGTTGAGACCAGTTCCATTGCTGCAACCTGGAAAGAGGCAACAGACTTGTACTGTTTGAATGTTTAAAATTATGTACACAGTGCATATTAGTGAGAAATGTTACATGTGCAGCACAATGCATTGGCACCCACTGAAACTAATAGCCTAGTTGTATGTTTTATCTTCCACACAGATACTGTTTGGCACCTGTTAGGAGCAGCAATTTCTTTTAGTTTTTTTGTTATCAAGATAAGATTTTCCTATAATTGTACATATGTCCTCTTTTATACAGCTGTGATTTTATTTGTTTCTTTCTGCCTTTGGTTTTCAAAAATGTGAAGATTTGTAAGCTGTGTATTTTTGTTCCTTTTTTGTCTTTAACTAATTATTTATCAAAGTGATGTTCCCAGGTGCAGTTTTAGTACTTAGGTTCGCAACACTTCCAAGTTTCCCACTACTTCATTTTGGTTCTCTATGGAATTGAGAGCTGATACTGAGAAAGAATTGATGCATAGTTCTTAGGCTCATGTGCTTTTCCTGGCCCACCACCTATTCTGAGTAGTATCATGAATAGCAAAGCTGTTATTTGCTTTTAGATTGCTTGAGTTTTATTCATGATTTATACCTCCCACCCCTTCTGTATGTTCCAGCAATTTTATGTTCCCCAGAAACTGGGAGATTCCTTGAGGTTATGAGTATTCCAGACTTTTAAGATATCTTCCCAATAGTACCTGCCTCATGTTGGTTTCTAGTCAACAGATCAGAAATGTTGTTGTTGTTATTATTATTAAGATTTAAATCTATGGAATGGAGCTACAGAAACTGTGGGGCAACCTCTGAAGTCTCAAGTGTTTGGCTGCCAAACCACTACAGTCCTTCTGGCAGTCAGTTTGCTGTCAGTACCAAATCTGTACCACAGAGTGATTTTCTTTCATTGGAGAAGATAACTGAGATAGCATCCAGATGGAAATTTATCTTTTTTTGCTAGTGAATACTCCTCTGAGTCCCTGGCCTGATAATGTGCAGTGTTGTGCCTTTGCAGAATGAAAATGGCCTTTTCTTCACCTGAACTATGGGATTCCGTTATCAAACTGAAGATTTTAATTAATGACAGTTACTGCCCTAAGAAAACTTTCCTTCTTGTGATCAGTTCTGCCCCAAATTAGCAGTTTTCCTTCGCCTTACAGATTTATTTTCTCTAAGAGCCGACACCTAGAAAAACAGGAGGCAAGCATAATGCACCGTAACACTGGTATATTATAATTTAAATATACACTCATGCAAGCCACTGATCACTTTTTAAAAGCATCAGAAAAATTACTTAAATTGATTTAATTATTTACCTCTGATCCTGTGAGAGAGAAGACTTAGGTCTTGTCCTCGGTCAGGTTCTGCGTTTGTGTGTTAAGCAATGAATAAATTTAGAAATATAGTACTGCTTGCACCTCCCTTTCCTTCTCCCTTACATCCAGGTTGTTTCCGCCTACCCAAAGTTCCTTTCTACCAAATCCCTAAAAGATCTTACATAATTTTGCCTTCCTTGTTGACCTTGTCACTTTTCAATTTTAGACATTTCAAAGGGACAATGGAATTAAAATCTCAGCTCTATTGTTACACCACAATAGTCTATGGACAGGATAAATGAGCAGGTCACACATTCCAGTGCTCTTCTGGTGTTATGGGGACAGGTAGTATGTTGTTTAAAGTAAATGACTAATAAAAAGGTTACACAACTAGAATGGTTGGCTTTGGTTTCTGGAATTAAGCGGCTGTTGTAGGCCTGATTCTCCTCTCTGGCTTTGTGCAGCTGTGACTCCTAGGTTTCAAATGCAGCACATCAGCTTAAACGTCAAGCTTGGTGATTGAATTAGACACAAGGAGTCCAGCTTCAGACTGAAGATCAGTAGGAGGACAGACAGAAGCAAAGCGATGAAGGACCATTTAGGGTAAGAGATGGACACCCCACTGGTTGTGTCGGTGAAGATATCTCATTGCAACCATAGCTGAGAATCATTTGAGAGAAACACTGCAAAACACTGAGCTAGTGCACAGTACTTGCATGTAGTGAAGGAGGGCAGGGACTGAAACAACACCACTGGGAGGGCTGGAGCAAGGATGGAATGAAAAAATACAGTGGGGGCAAACGTGGCACAGTAGTTGTCACTCTGCAGTCCCAGAAGAGAGCTGGGATGCTGTTGGGTGGTGGGAGAAGGTGGTGTCAACAACTGTAAGACCCTGGGGGACGGGGGAAGAGGAGTGGAGGAAGGGAAGGAAACTGTACTGTGTGCTAAGCATTTTGCTGCAAGCCTGATTACAGGAACGGAGTGGGTCAAGTCTTCTAAAAAGTGGCAGAAATCAGTGTTGTGCAAGGCAATGAAGAAATGCCAGAAATTAAACAAGTGTTGGTTGTAGTATGATGAGTAAGTCCTCAAGGAATCAGGACAGAAGAAAGGTCAACTGGATGGTTAGGTGGTGGGAAAACCCAGGCCAGGAGACTCCAAGTCCCAAAGAAGTATGCGGAGAGTGAGCAAGCTACCTCCCTTTGCTAGTCAAGATGCAAGGATGCCAGGCAGGATGAGAAAGGAAGGTGGCAAGGCAGAATGGCTTTTGGCAAGAGAGAGAAAATCACACCTTAGTTGAAAGGGACATCCAGAGGTCAACCTCCTGCTTGGAGCAGGGCTATCAGTAGATAAGGTCAGCCACAGCGCTTCTGAAGATGGAGATTCCCCAACATTTCTGGACAACCTTCTCCAGTGCTGTGCTGCTCACCGTGGGAAAAGGTTGCTCCCTAATGTGCAACTCACCCTTCAAGTGTTGTGGCCATTGCCTCGTGGTAATGATCTAGCACTGCCAAGAGGACATTAACTCTGTCATCTTTGCAATCGTGCTTAAAGTAATTGAAGGTGAGAGAGAGAAGGTGACTCACACTTCCATTGACTCTAAAGGCCTGTGAGTGAGTTTGGGTGCATGTTGTCACAATTTTGTTCCTCCTTGACCTCCCAGGCATGGCTTTCCTGTCTTTATTGCTGAGGCACATGAGGAAGTGCTGAAGGGACTTGGCCGTGGGGATGTGATGCCCTTGCATTAGGTGGAACACGGCATGGCAGGGCTGCACCTGAATGCATGGTGATCCTGTGTCATGTTCACAGCTGAGACAGAGAGAAGGCAGTGCTGTTGAGGTTATATGGGGGTAGAATAAAGCACTTGCTTCACAACACTTTTCCTATGCTCCTTCCCATTTGGGAGGCAGAGCCAGAAGGGACCCTGGAAGCTGCTGGCCATGTGGAAGAAAACAGAAAGGTCTCAGTGACAGTCAGCAGTCTCCTCTCTGTCAGGAAAAGGGAGTCCTGCCATCCCAAGAAGAAACATTTCTAGTAAGATGCTGGTGGTGTGTCAAAGTCCTGTAAGAGACCCAGTCCTTTGCTCTCTGTTGTGAATTCAGAGAGTTAGGAGCATCCCTTACAAACATGCATGACTGATTAGGACACTGTCCTCCTTAGGAGAAAGAGCTGTGACAGGAGTAAATGCGTACTGGGAGATTTGCATGTAATCTTCCCGAAAGCACGTAGGGAGTTAGTATGACAGGCTTGATTCTCCAACTTGATCTTGCCTCAAACCAGTGAAAGCAAAATGAGAGTAAAGCAGTGCAGTGCTGCGCTGGCAACAGTGTTGAATGCATGAAAGGTTACACAGGAGAAGGTTTCAAGGCACGTGTGTTTTATTTTCCTACAATTTGTAGTGTTGTTCAATATTTTCCATTTGCTGTGGGACAGAGGTTAGAAAGTACATGTGCATGCAAGAAAGAAGCACCGGGATCAGGTGGATCAGAGGATTTTTCAGGTTTTTTTCATAGCCAACTGAGCGAGGCTGCAAAGTTGGTATAAAACTGACAAGAATGTGGGTGAGATAGCCCTCCTGGGATGGCCAGCTTAGTGAGGTGAAACCAATGGAGATGCAGCAGCATTCTGGAGGAGGCAGTTGTTCCTGTTTCTTTTCTTCTTGTGTACCAAAGCAAATGTGTTGGGAATTACTGTTTTTGATCAGCTTAGTCTGTCCTGCATTGTGGCAGTTCTGGTTCAGAAAGTGCTGAGAAGATGCATCAATGTTGTTCTGTGCACAGTTTGGTGCTTATAGTGTAGTGCTACCATGTTTGGGTTCTTTGGCCAGGAAAAGGAGCCAGAGGCTTGAATTCCAGGTCATTTTTAATATGTGCTCTCTGCTAACATTGAGAGATTTGTCAAGAGTACAGGAAAATTAAGAAGTGCACAGACTATTGAGATGCTCTTTGTGGTGTGTTTTCTCTTCATTATTGTTGTTGCAAGAGCCTGTTTAGTAATGGTCAAGTTTCTAGGGGGAAGAGAACCTTCCGAAGAAGAGGATGCTCTTGGTCTTGTTGTGCCTGATAAAGAAGAGGAAAGGGTGATCTGCCACAAAAATAACAGTAGCACCAAGACTTCGTGATGCTAGTGCTGCTGCACTGGCAGCTGCTGCCTCTGTGCCTTCTTCGTTGACTTCCAGATAACACTTGTGAAAAACTTGTGACAAGAACAGCTCGCTGTTCTGTGACATTCCGGAGAAATCAGCTTGACCTTTAGTGAAGGCATCTTGTATCCCCATCCTGCTCAAAGTAGATTTGAGGTCATATTTCTCTTCTAATGTGAACCTGGGAAGATAAACCTCCATTTTCACTTTCTCCATTGATTCCGGGCTGGTCCATGCAGACAAGTTTTCCAAAGTCAATTCTCTTTGTAGCTGCAGTTAGTAAAAAGAGAATCAGAAAATTACAGAGTGATCAAAAACCTGTGCCCTAAGGGCTATTTCTTCTCTTTTCTTAAATAGGGAACTTTTCAAGCTGTTGTGAGAGTACAAAGTAAACAGTAGTAAAAGACCAGTTTTCAGAACTTTTTGACTAGAGGAGCATGTTGCTCTACAGTAGGTCAGTGTACTATTTGAACTGTTCTCAATAATTGTCAGGGAATATAGCAGGGGTAAATAGTTGTAGAACAAAAACATCAGTGTCAAGTAACAGTAGTCTGGTTGATTCGCTGTTCATATTTCTGTCTTCCCTACATTTTAGGTTTTATTGAAAAGAGATTTTTTCCTACAGAGCACCCACTAACGTACAGGAGAATTTAGTGAGAGTTTATTATCCAAAGGCAGGATCAGTCTCTTTACAGAAGGTGGCAGTGTCCATATGTGTCAGCTCTGGACATCCTGGAAAGTAATGGGGGCTGTCCATTTTGTGGGTGGGTTTTTTTTCTGTTTTGGAATGAAATCATATATGTCTGAATTGGTACAGACAGTGAATCTCAGCAGGGCTGGCCTTCTATACTCATTTTTGTTCAGCTGGAAGAAGAGCCCGTCTTGTGGGGTTTGGGTTACCTATTTTCAGGACTGGTCAACATTAGGAGCCACAGAAGTGTCAGCTGCCAAGAATAAGAAATCTAGTCTGAGCTCCAAGATGTTCAAGTTCACAGTGCCAGAGCAAGTTCGGGGTTTGATTTTCCTTGATCCTGATCAGTACCCTCTTTCCTAGAAATACGACTGCAGCCTGGTCTTTTACCTTGTGCATGCATGAAGTAAGTAAATAATGACACTCTTGTTTTTCGCATGAGTTATGTTCTCAGTTGCTTTACCTTTTGTAGGCCGGTGATGTCACTTGGTAGGAGGATAAACATGCTGAGGTCGTTATTGACGTATGGAAGCTCAAGAACATCAGTCTGGACCGATTCTACATAGG